GGGGGGGGGGGGGGGGTCCTTGAGGGCGCACCGCTGATACGCAACGTGACGAGGTTTCTTGAACCTGCAAGCTGACAAGCCCTCCGCTGTAAAGGAATGCACGCAAGGAGCTGGTACAAATCCTGCAACATCAACCAGTAGATCCTGGATAGGTGAATTCCTGGGGAGGGTCCGGCACGCTGATAGCGCTGGCGGCTACTCCTTGCTTCGGGCGGGACAATGGTGTCCTAGCGCTGGCGGCGCCTCGGCGCCTGCCACCCTGTCCCCAATTGGCTCACGTGTGTCATCCTTCTTCCTTATTCTTTCCCTGGCCGCTGGTGCCATTCCTGGGCGGGCAGGGACCCGCACAAAGGAACCCCTCGTTCGAGCGGCCAAGTCGGGGGACACTGAGTCTCAAGGCTCGCTGTTGAGCGTGGATTCAGGGAGTCGGGGACCGCCGGCCGGCGGATGCATGTGCAGGGATGGCATCCACCCGACGGCCGCTTCCAAGCCAGCGGCGGTATGGAAGAAGGGCTCTGATGTTTATACCACTCCTGCTGGCTCTTCTGAGTCATCTGACATCCTGGAAATTGCTCTTTGCGCACAATCTTGCAACACAAAGGTCCACGGGTGAGGGTGACGGCAGACCCTGCCCGGCTGCCGGCTGCCGGCTGGCGCTTGCGTTCTTGCCACGCCCACCACACTCACTTGCTTGGTGCAGAACTCTTCCACTCTGTCCAGCACGAGCTTCGCGTCCAGCGCCCCATTGCGTACGTGCTAGATTATGCCGCTCACGAGGCAGCAGACTACCCGCAGGAGTGCCGGGACCGGTACCATGGCCTGCCCTTTTTGCGCACCATCAACGCCTCCTGGCAGCAGCCGGTATGCAGTCCTCAGGTGCGCACAGCTTTTGTGGCCCGAGTCATGCCAGCTTACGGGGGCTGGCAGTGCGCCCAAGGCGGTGTTCCTTGCTGCAGGCTGCGGGCCCGCTGAACAGCAGCCTCAGCTGCTTCTTCCAGTTCGACGTTTATCCCGAAGCCTACTGCACTGGCGCCAACCTTGCGCTGGATCTCACAAAGTTTGCGGTGGGTGTGTAATGTGGGAGTGAGTTCTTGAGGAAGTACCGCAGATGGCAAGCTTCAGCTGCCTTTGGCTGTGGTACCACGCTGCAGGAAGAGGATGCCGCGCTCCCGCACGAGACCAGCAATAGAAATGAGCAGCAGTTGTTTCAGGAGCACCCTCGTCCGGGCCTGGAAGGGGAGTTGCTGGGTGATTGCCGCCTGAATGCCAACGTCGGCGGCCAGGGCATGTGGCAGGTGGGTTGCAGCTTGGGGCTAAGGGAAGGCCGCCGGTGCACGGCGTGCAGCAGTCTGGGCTTGCCGAGCACTCCAAACATGCATTCACGGGTTGTTTGCGTTTTGAGCCCTGTGCCCTGCACCCCTGGATGGCAACAGGAGAGCTCATTTGGGAAGGGCGGCCAAAAATGGTTGTATCAGAGTTTCAGGTCGACCGCAGGAGGCAAGTTATGCGCGGGCACGGTCACATGCATGTGCTGAAGAGATTGCGACTTTTTTTGGAACCTCTTTTGTCTTGCTCAACTGCAGAATCACAGCAGCCTCGGTGCATCGCATGGATTGACCATCCACTTTATTTTCTAAACGACAAGTATGACTCACTCAACCTCTGGCATGCTCTCGAAGACGTGACACACGCCTTTGAGGCGTACGCTCTCAAGGGCTGGGGGCGGGAGGCGCAGGTGCGTCGTACGGGGCAGCAGGCTCATGTGCATAGGCAGGTTTCATTTGGCACAGGCAGACACCTGCTTGCACCATCAACCCTCCATGATCGTGCTGCCTGGCGGCATCTGCAGGTGGTGGTGCTCGACCAGGCCACACCCGAGAGCGTGTTGGGTCCAACATATTTGGCTGTGTGGCAAAAGGTGTTCTCGCCGCAGCATCCGCCGATCCTTCTTCGAGACCTGGTTGCAGAGAGCAAAGCGCAGCATGGCGGAAGCCTGCCGCCCGGCGCCGCCCTGTGCATGAAAGGTATTTTGTTGATATACTGACGAGCATGGGGGCTCTGGGCTGTACGCGTTTCTTTGCCTCCGTCAGTTATTGGCTACCTTTCACGTTTCCACATGCAGACGTGGTCTTCAGCGTGCACGGCGGCATTTCAGTGCTGTCGCGATCCATCTCATCGTGGACGCCCTGCCGCAATTCCACAATGATGAACGCATTGGTGCACTTCCTTCTGGATGGCCTGCAGCTCACCCATGTCCGTCCCGCAAGCCACGGCTGGTCCTTGCAGGAACAACACCATCAGCAGGACCAACAGCATCAAGGCAACATGTTGCAACAGGATGAGCACCCACGACTACGAGTTGTCTGGGCGCTGCGTTCCAATCGGGCAGGCTATCAGCAGCAGATCTTGGGGGCGCTGCAAAAGCGGCTGCCTGTAGAATCTAATGCCGAGGTGGGGCTGCCAGTGGGTGTGCGTGTGCGCTGTCCTGCGCAGTGTGCACCAGTTGAATAGCACATTGAATTGCTTGCAGTGCATGCACACTGCAGGTGGTGGCTGTAGAATTCGGAGGGCTCAGTATAGAGGAGCAGATTCGGCGGGTGCGGCAAGCTGATGTCCTCGTGGGGTGAGCAGTGGTGGGGGTGAGCAGTTGCCTTGCTGGGCAAGCCAACTGGGTAGGTTGGGGGGGGTAGCAGGCAGCACCGTTGACTGACGGCAGTGCAGGGTGTGGCCACGTCACGGCATTCTCACAACTGAGTGTGTTAGAGTGCCGTGCGTTGCATGCTAAGGGTAGAAAAAAGTGGAGTTTGCAGCCTCCCTGCTGTCGATTGTGCTGCCTGAGCTGGCCAGCACAACAGGATTTCCAAAGCCACCCGTCCACCCTGCCTGCCAATGCAGATACCACGGCGCCGCCCTCACCCTTGCGCTGTTCATGGACCAGCGGTCAGGGCTGGTGGAGGTGGACGAAACCTTTCGGTTGGTTGGTGGTAGTGCTGGTCATGGTAGAGGGTGGTGGCGTAAGGGGAGGTCGGGAGACGGTGCGTCTTGCTGGGTTTGGGTTTGGGCATGCACGGTTAGCCAACATGGCGGCGGCAGCGCTGTGTTCAGTCCCCTCCGTATCCATCCCTTACCCATCCCCCCGCCCCCCTGATGTCCAGGTGTACGTGCTACACCAACTGCGCCATTTGGAGGGACCACCCCTACTCGCTCATCCATGCGCCTGAGCACAGTGGCGATGCAGCACTTGCAGCCAAGGTCGTGGAGGAAGTGCAGACAATGCTTCGACAGGTAGCGGAACGAATAGGAAAACCTGATGTGTAAGCAGCGGCAGCGAAAAAGTTACAACCAGTGTCAGCTGGCGCTCTCCCTCCACTGGTGCGGCTTCCCTGCCACATGCATGGCGCTGCGGCAATGAACGCTGTATTTTGTCAGGCGCTCCAATGTCTTCCAAGCCTGCATTCGATGGACGAGGCAGGTGGTAGGCACGTGCCAGCAGGTGGTGGTAGGCACGGCCCATGTCGCAGAACAGCAACGGATCGGCCTTGCCTCCAGGCTCAGCTGCCAGGCTGCCAGGCTCGGACCCCGGCTTGTCCTCTGCACCGCTGCCGGCGCTGCTGCCCTGCTCAGCCTCTTCTGCTGCACCGCCCTGTGCGGTGCTTCTGCCACTGCTGGTAACATTGCTTGCGCCGGCCCCACTGCTGTTGTCCTTGCCGCTTCGCAGCACCGCCAGCGCCGTGCCCCGACGATGAGGCACAGGACCGCCACGACAGCCAGCCGGGATAGGATCACGCCCTTGCCCTGGGACTGGCCCCTCTTCCGAGCAAGAGCCATGGCCTGTGACTACCCGTGGGGCCGAGGGCAGGGGCTGGGTGAGGGGGCGGGGGGCGGCGACCGCCTCAATGCCGCACCCGCTCTCCTGCTGCTGCTGAGCTGCCACAGGTGCAAGGACCAGCTTGGCCTGCTGTGTACAGCACCACACAGTTGCAGCGCCACACGCGGGGCAGCCTGTCCAACTCAGGCGGCTGCAAAGCAATGCATGTACTTGGTCGGCCTGGTGCAAGACTGGGCCTTTTTCGGCCTCGCTCGGCAACCAAGCCGCCATTCTGTACAAAATTGTGTACGGCATCTGCAAAGCGCCTCTCTCGCGCTGCTCAACTCAGCTGCCTGTACCTCAGCCGCCAGCGCTCTCGAAGCCAACACCACGACGGGTATGAAGGGAAACAAGTTCAAACCCCACCGGGAGACGCCAGCGCTGCCAGCCACCTCCACCGGAAGGCAGAGGAAGCAGGGCATGAAGCGGCGGCGGACGCAGGATGCGGCAGCAGAAGATGCGGGGGTCGAGCCGGCGGCGGCAGCCCTGGGAAGGGAGCCGCCGGCTTCCAAGAAGCAGCGGCAGAAGCAGCAGTGGCATGCCATGCTGCCCGCATTACCCACGGTGGTGCCTCCGGCTCCAAAACCAGGAGCAGACCGTGCAGCATCGGCAGCGACGGCCTCCTGCAACTGGGCAGCGCTCAGATCGGCCATGGAGCAGCAAAATGGCAGGCCACGCTGGCGCAAGAAGCGTTCCGCCGACAGTAGCGTCGAGGCTGCGCAGGACGCCGTGCCTGCCAACCGTCGACCAAACAGCATCGGCGGTGACACTGCACCCACCAAGGTGGTGGCTATGGACTGCGAGATGGTGGGAGTGGGACCCGGCGGGCAGCGGTCTGCGCTGGCCAGGTATGCATAGCAGGCCAACCGCCTTCCTGGCCGTGCTGGTTGCTGTGAGTGTACCGCTGTGGTTGTTACCCATCGGGGCTTGGAGTTCATTCTTTGTTGGCTGCAGAGTGTGCATCCTGAACAGTGCTGGCAATGTGCTGCTTGACCGCTGGGTGCGGCCCAATGAAAAGGTCACGGACTTTCGGACCAAAGTCAGCGGTGTGCGGCCCTCCAATCTCCGCGACGCCCCCGTTTTTGACGAGGTGCAGCGACAGGTGTCAGACCTGCTGAAGGGGCGCATCATCGTAGGGCACGCACTGGAGAATGATTTGGAGGCTCTGCTGCTGAACCACCGCCGCGCAGACGTGCGCGACACGGCCAAGTACCCGCCACTGATGCAGGTGCAGGCAAGCATTGGCTACGGATAGCTGCTGCATAATGCTGTTGGCTCGTTCAGCCAGGTGTGCGCTGATTGTTCCGCATGGGATCCTGCAGGCTCGCACCGGCAAGCTGAAGCCACGTGCGCTGCGGCACCTGGCCACGGAGCAGCTGGGGCTAACCATCCAAGAGGGCGAGCACAGCCCTGTTGAGGACGCAAGAGCGGCCCTGTATCTGTATTTGAAGCATCGGAAGGAGTGGGAAAGAGGGGGGCAGCAGGGGCGGAAGGAGCATCTGCACTCAGCAGCTGCAGCAGTCGGGGCTGGCGGCCTGGGAGAACGCAGCATCGCCGGCAGTAACTAATGTGCAGGCACTGGAAGAGCTCACTCGCAACGACTACCTACGGGCCTGCAGCTCCTCCTTGTTGGAATACCTTAAAAGAAGCCCGCTGTGCTGCATTAGAGGGTTGGACACTCTCTACGATGAGCTCGCTTTGCAAGTCACTCTGGGCTGGGCATGCTGCCCACAGACGCGACTCGGTTCTTTGGCACCACGGCTCGCTCAGCTGGAGGCACCTCGCGGATGTCGTCTGCACAGCGGCGATAGCGAAGAGTCAGCAGGCATGTCTGGGGCATGGCAACCCACGATAGCAGTCAAGCCGTCCTACCTGCACCACCCGTGGTCAGCTGCTTGATTGCGATCCTCAATATGAGGTACGACCTGCAGGAAGGAGCACCGGGGGGCTGCTGGCGTGGGGTGGAGTGATCACGTGGCACTTTGCGCTGGTGAACCTTTTCCTTCCAATCACGACTCGTCAAAGAAAACATGGAGACAACACGCACCAATAGACATGGAGGCAGTATAGGAAGATGAGGAAGCCGTTGAGAATGGCGTGGTGTGGCTGGATGTAGGCGCCCACCACCTCTGCACGCGCCTGCAATTGACAGGTAAGAAACACCACAGCGTTGGGGAGACACTGCATGTGGACATTTCAGTTCAGGTTAAAAGCTTGCAGGACCAAGTACCATCGACTCGAAAAGCGTGCTGCGGATGACAAAGGCGGGGAACATGAACACGCGTGTAGTGAACCAGCTCAGCATAAACACTGCATGGCAGCATTGGGGTGGGGTCAGCAAGATCACAGGAGGCTGCATGGCCATGCCACCGATCACGGGAACACAGCGCACCCACAAAGATGGCGGTGGTGAGGGCCTCATGCTTGGCGTACCGCGCCATCTGCATGGAACAGGACAAGGGTGCCAGGGCTGGGTGGCAGCTCAGATGCATCACTGGAACGACCCGCCCGGCCCACCTTTGCTGCCTCCAGAAAGATGTCATTGCTCTCATGGCAGACGAGCACCATGACTCCCACCCGCGTCAGGCTGCAGGCGGAATGTGGGAGCGGCAGCCGGGTGCGTCGGAAACGAACGGGACTTGCAGTCCTGCTCTCAGCACAGCCATTACGCTCATGCGGCGCACAGCATGCAAGACGAACTGCCTGCCCAACCCATTGACTCAGGGCCATGATCACTTCAGGTAGTAGGAGTAGGCAATAAGCACGATGGTGGCCACGTGGTGCGCAAACACTTCCAGGCGGTCCTTGCGCTTGGTCTCCCACAGGAACAGCATGGGCACCGCCTGCAGGGGGCATCACAGGTGAGCTTTAACCCCATGCCAACGCATGCGACAACCGGCAGTGCCGAAGTAGCAAGCAGCGCACCGTTTGTTCACACCTGCACATAGAAGCCTAGCACCAGGCAATATACGAAGCGCTCGCCGTAGCTGATTGGGACATTGCACGGCCATGAGCATTCTGCCCAGTAGAGCTTGGTGTCATAGAACCAGCTGCATGAGCATCGCATGGTTGGCGTCTGCGTGAGTGAACAGCTGGCACGCCTCATTGAAGAGTATCAGCCAGCACTCACGGCTTGTTCAGGCCGACCAGCAGGAGCACCACGCTGAAGCAGATTTGCACGCCGCACTTGTAGGCCGATTCTGCAGCAGTCTCGAGAATGGTAAAAAGGAAACAGCCCCACAATGGTTCCATCAGGTTGCAGAGCTGCTCGCCGCGGCGCACCTTTGAACTTGTCCAGGGTGTCTAGCTGCTCCTGGCTGACTGCCACATCCGTCTTCTTGGGGTCGCCACGGGGGACGCCCAGCACGCGCGACGCGATAGGCTGCAAGGGGGTGTCAATTGTGGGGACTGTGCGTCGCAGGGCGAAGGGCGCGACTGCAGACAACGAAAGGCACCACAGCTCACCCCATAAACCCGCCGGTCCATGATGTAGCGCATGAGGGGGAAGGCGCAGGCGATGGCCAGGGCCATGACATAGTCGGACGTGCCGCCGCGCAGCAGGCCGGTGCCGCCAAAGGCGCGCGCCAGCAGGCCCTCCACATCCGGCGCGTGCTGCTGCATCCAGAGCGCCCAGGTGGCGGCGGCGCCCATCTCAACTGCGCCCGATTGCTGCTGTTTGCCTGTGAGACGATCAAATTCGTTTCAAGACCAGTGTCGATTCCAGCCGCGATTTCGAGTCACTGGATCCCCAGCACATTCACGATCAAGAGGAATGCCTATGTCCTGAGCTTCGCGCTGCTGGAAACTGTGCTGCCGTACCTCGGCTGCCTCCCAGCTGGCCCTATTTTGATCCAAATCACACGTCTCGCGACTTCTCTTCCTGTGAAGCCCCATAGTCTGGCAGCCTGCGGACCTTCTGAGCGGCAGTCAGGGTTGAGTGCCGCCTGCTATCTGCACGCTCAACCCAATTTGGTTTGGCCCTTGCAAGACGATCACACTCAACCATGCTTGTCCCCCATGCGTGCCTGCAGGTAGCTAGCACCACCCGCCTTGCCCCCGCCCTCCAGCACCACAGACCCGCCTGCGAACAGCTGCTGGGGGCGCCTTGTCAACATGACTCTATCCTCACGCCTTTCAATTGCTGGGCTGGTGAGTGAGTAGATGGAAGCAGTGACTTGCATGCCCATGTGTAACGTGTTCCGCATGATAGAAAGAGTGACCTTGCCGTGCCAGTGTGCAACACCCTGTAGACCTCGCAGTACCTTATTCTGCCTGTTTTGCAGATCGTTTGTGGGACTTTCACGTCGCTTGTCGCCAAAATAGGCAAGAAACAACCGAGCAATGCTGGGAAACTTGTTGTGCACTGCCGGTGCCCACTCCAACCCAGTCCTCGCCTCCGCCGCCGAGGCCCCCTGCAGCCTATGAGCTGGAGGGCCCGGGCCGGGATGGAGCCCCAAAGCACTTTGAGAAGCCGTGGGCCATGACCACAGGTGCGCGGCTGCTGCAGACGGGCTGGGAGATGGGAGGAAGTTGGTGGATCTTTGAAGCCCGCCCCCCCTGTTTCGCCCCGCAGTCATGTTTGTGGGCATGAGCTTCTGCCTGCCACTGGCCTTCTTCCTTGAGCACCGGCAGCGCCAGCGTGCCCAGAAGATGGCAGCAAGTACTGACGCAGCCGAGCCGCTGCTGGCGGGCAATGGGGTGAGCTGCTTTAAGCTGCTGCGTTTGAGTAGAAAGACGCATTGGAGAAACAAAACAATCCAGGCGGCTGGCTTCTTATGCACAGAACTCCCTCCTCCTCCCCCTTCTCCTCCTTCTCCCGGCAGGAGGGCACCCTGCAGGCACCCGGCGCCCAGCACAGCGAGCTAGCCCAGGCGCTCATGCTGTTGATTCCTACTGCCTTTGATCTCATTGCCACGGTGCTCATGAACGTTGGGCTGCTGTCAGGTGGGTAAGCGCATGGGGAAGCAGCAGCGGCTGGCCTTTCTTCTCAGGCAAGCACCTGTGACCACCAGTGCTTGCAGTGACTGCTTCGGTGTACCAGATGATGAGGGGTGCCGAGATGCTGTTTGCGGCGTTGTTTGCCGTCGTCTTCCTGCGTCGCAGGTGTGCTGCTGGTTGCCTGTTTTCTGGTGTGTGTGTGTGTGTGTGTGTGTGTGTGGGGGGGGGGGGGGGGGCTCAACAGGGGCGTCATGCCCCCCTTTTTGTCTTGAAACCCCCCTTT